CAGGGACATCAGTGTGACTGATAATCAAAAGCCAGAATGTGCCCTCATGTGTGTACTTGACTCTACAAGGACTTAAGAGGCTTTTTCCTCACACCATTTTCATTATCTCTGCTTCACTACTTTAAGGTTTAAATAATTTATCATCTGAATTTGAAAGCAACAAAAAATACCTGCTGTTTTGCCTTTGTGTCATTTGGTAAGCATGCAGCATTATCCTAATAGGAGTTTAGGATGATAAAACATCAAATGAGATAGAAGACAGGCTGAAATGGTTATATTGTCATTAACTTACAGAACCCTTGGGTGCTACAATGTGTTTGTGCTGTGCTGTAGGTCTCAAATGAGCAATTTGAGAGTAAATGAATAAAAATTGTATGATAGGTTAGTGGGATGTTCATGATTCCAGATGTTACAAACTTAGAAGCTTTCACTACTCCTGTTAAAATTATTTGTGAAATACAAACTTGCTGGTAATTTTGGGAGTCTTTTTCCTTCCTTTTGGTGTTAAAGTACAGTTTGTGATAGAGATAACATCTGAAACTATGGCTGTACCTTCACACCTTAGCATGTAGCACTCTGTTCTTGTTGTGCTGTCAGTCAGAAGCCAAATAAATCTAGCTGACAGGGCACTAGTGGGATTCCTGCTGTTTGCAGTAAAACTTCTCCAGGGTTGGATGAGCCAGAGGAAGCTATGTTATGATGCTGACAGCTGAGTGAAGATCCTTGCTTTGTTTAATAGTCACTGGAGAGGACACTTTAGGGTGTCTTGGAAGGCACTGTCACTGCACTACATTGAAAAATATTGGCAGAGCCTAGCAAGGCATCTGGCCCTGATCAAATATTCCTCTTGAATTAAAAGCATATTTTGCTATTCTGCTCAGCCTGTTCTTAGGAAGCTAATAATGGAGTTGGATCCTCTTGCTCTATTTTGAGGATGTCTTATTGAATCATTTAATGATGTGACTAATTTGTGAAACAGAAATCCCTGTACATCAGCTGTTCACGGTAATTTTCCTGGGGGAAGATAGAACTTTTTATGTTAAAAGACACTGATCATTCTTTTCAGCATATCAAAGTACAAATGTACTGTAGGCTTTTCTATTGAAAAAAAAAAAATAGAACAAATGTCTTTTATCTGTAATTTCATCATTACACCTGCATAAATCTCACAGATGCTAATGGGACTTGTAGCAATGTAGATAAAAGCCAGACACACTGTTGAGGTATGGAGTCCAACAGTGCAGGGTGCACCACAGAAGTAAGAGGGTTCATCCCTGTAGGGACAGCCTGCAAGTGTGTGACACAGCCTGCTTGGAATAAACCATTGGTGTGCAAAACCAAGGCTCTCTAGATTGATGTAGCCAATCAATCTGATTAATGCAGATTGATTGGGTACACCAATAATGTGACTGTGCAAACTTACAGAATGCTCAATTTTACTGCTGCCCAGATGAATTTCTCCAGAGAAAAAAGTTTGGTCTCTGCATCCACTCAGCTGTAGGAGCACATAGGATGTCTGTGATGGAAGAGATGCAGGGCAAACAAAAATTACCTGGACTCTGTGGCTGGGAAGGAAGATATGGGACTATGAGGGTTGAGCTAGAGGTCTTATTAATTGTGGGCATAATGGGAGTAAGCTGAAAACTGCAGGCTTGCCTTGAAGAGTAGGAAGGGGTGAGGGGACAGTGCAAAAGGGTCAAAGGGGCAAACCTGTGGGATGCTGTAGAGATTATGGGGGAAAAAAAAAGGAAAACAAGCAAGCATCAGGTCCTTAAAAGTATGTAGAAATCAATAATGGAGGACAACATTAGCTGGGAGCAATACAGTTAGTCCTCACAGCTGATCACCAATGGTAATGTCACTGTGAGCAGCAGAAGAAGGAAGTTCTGTGGGTGGACCCTAGGACAGAGGAATTAACTGGGGCAGTCTGATAGAGAAACACAGAATTACTTGTTTCAGTTTTGACAAGGCAAATAAATCATGCAATTAACTTCATTTCTTGATAGTTTCTGAGAGAATGTCTACAGTAAAGTTTGAGTTCTGCCCAAATTCTATACATGGACACTTGAAATCTGTAGACCAAAAGCAGCAGACACACTGCCACTAACAATTTCTTTGGCCTAGGTGAAAATAGCAGGGATCTTATTTTTTATCTTCTATTTCACTATTTTAAAAAGTATTTTTGACCCCTTTATTAGCATAACATACAGATTGAATGTTCAAAGCAAATAATAAGACTAAGAACTTATTATGGAAGTCTTGTTCAAAAGAGAAATTGGGCAAGGAAAGGTTTTAATCAACCCCTTGCCTAGGGTTCCGCCTGTAAATGTAGTTCTTGCACCTCTCTTGCTATCCAAGCTTAAGAAATGCAATATTGCCCTTTAACACACAAGTCAGAAAGGCAGGCTTTCTGTGAGGTGATGTGGCTGCTGCTGTCCTCAGAGTATCCTTTTCATCTTACCTGTGGCTGTGGGAGAGTAAAGGTAATGTCTTCCAGCATTTTCTTTCTTGAAAAAGTGTACTAGTGACATGTGCTTCTGAAAGGGCCCTGTGTTGTCATCTGATATATTAAGGCACTGTCTTGTCATCTGATATATTTGGATATTCTCAAGTCCACAGAAAAAAAACAAAAAGGCAAGTTATCTTTTAATCACAGGATATTCATAGTAAATAGAAAAATGAAACATCTTGCCAGTCCTTACTGGCCAAAGGAACTCTATGGACAGGACTCCCAAGTGTATGCAAATAATCCTCAGAGGGATTGAAGAAGTGTGGTTGAAGTGTGAGTAATTCTGCTTATAGAGAATCTATCAAGAATAGAGCAGGAAAGCCTGGAAGTGGAAGTATCTCTGTTGCTCTGGTAGGACAGTGACCACACAATTCAGTGTGATTCGATAGAACTTTCTTTTAAGTAGATTAGCTCCTCCCTGTGTTGACTGATAAAGATACAAGGTGATTTACTTACAGGAATGTAAGTGCAAGCCTTTAAAAAAAAAGAACTCCTATTGACTTTGAAACTGAGTCACCAGCACTGATGAATTTTTGAAGTAAATTAACCATCATTTAAGAATAGCATTTAAGAATTTAAGAATTTTACTATCATTTAGAATAGCTGTTAGTGTGTGGCCTTTTCATTTCTGCCAATAAACTTCATAATAGATACTGAAGCAGGACTGAAAAACCTGTGAACACCATGGAGACATTTTGTTCAGTGTTGCATTGTGACATACTCATGATCTTTTTTTCTTTGCTTCCTTAACTTTTTTTTTTTAATTTCCTTATTTTATTTCTGTTGAGTGTGTGTGTTCATTTTAGTGATAGTGTAGTTCATTGAGGAAGTTATTTAATGTTCACTTGTGAATACTACTCCAAGGCACCTAGCAACATTTATATGTTAGTAGCCACCCAGTCATCATACTTCTCTTGTCAGCTGTAGAACACAAAAGTTATACTGGAAGTACTTAGAGAAAAATTTACATCAAAATGGCTACATACTTTCACTTTGTCAAAATATCTGCGTGTTGGCTTTCTTTGCTGCTTAAATGCTGTTCTATCTGTTCCTAACTTCCCCTGTTTAGCAGCAGGAAAACCCAGGGAGCATTGAATGAATCGGATGATCCTGAAACAGGCTGTCTAACTGATAACAAGCCAACTTCTCGACACTTCTATCCTGTCGCCTTGCTGCTTGTCAGCTCACACTTGCTGGTTGTGTGGCTTATTTTAAGTCTTGCTTTGCTATTAGCCAAATATCAATAAACTTCACTTGTGTTCCTTTCTTTTCTACAAATAGCAACAAACTAACTCTAGAAAAAAAGAATCATGTTGTAATATTTCTACAGTCTCAGACCCCAAGGATTCATCTTTAAGATACCAATGTCTGAAATGTACTGTTTTCATTCTTTTTTTCTGAACTCCGAGAAGTATACTATGCATTGAGTGAAATGATTTGTTCTTTCTGTTCATGGTAAAGCTTTCCTACTGTAATAGCGCAAAGAAAGCACTATTACAATAGGAAAGACTAATTACAATGCTGTCACTGTATAGAAGTTGTGGAATCCTGAATGCTTGAACCCCTCTTTCCAGAGTAATTAGTCTGACAAAAAAAAAAAATAAAAAGAATTTGCACAACACAAGCTAACCCCTAGACAAATATGGCAGGGCAATGGTTTGTGAGACTTACCTTTCATTGTGTTTTTTTAATTGTTACTAGCTGATGGGATTGTTTTCGTTTAATAAATGATTATTACTTTGCTACAACTAACCCTTTTCTGTAGAGTAAATAGAATATAATAAGTTCTGTTTTGTAATGAAATAAGCCTGTTTTTAATTGTTGCTTTCATTGCTTTTGCTTTCAAGACATTTTATATTCTTTTTAACAAAGTACTGTTTATGTCTTGATGCACCACTTTGGCACTTGTGACTTTTGTACTGTATGTGAACGAACACCCTTCCTTTATAAAGCAGAGAGGTGGATTGGGCTGTTTGAAAAGCCATTCTCTTTTTTTCATTGCAAAGCTGAACATACAGGAAATGAAGCAGAGATGAAACTTTCCTTCACAAATCTCTAGGGCCAGACTTAATAAAATTCCTTATTCCTAGAATACACATATTGGGGCAAAGTATACTCACACATATATAGGAAACAAACTGAAAAAAAAAAAAAAAGGTATGAAAAGGTTTAAAAGGCAAATATATTTCTGGAATTAGAACAAAATGTATCATTAAAGTATTTAATTTTTTTTACTGAACTTTAAACCGCAAGGGCAGATATACTAGGGGGGATGGAAAATCTTATCACCTATTTCTGAGGGCAATAACTGTACTGGGCCTGGCCTTCGATTTAATTCTGTAAGATGTATCATCACTTGTGGAAAACAAAAATGTAGAGTTGAATCCTTGTTATTTTTACTTCAACTGTTGCTGAAACTCTGCAATGAACAAATAAAGCATATTTATTTATTCTGTGTTTCATGAAGTTGTACTTTTTCCCCTTTCACTAGAGAAGGATGCCGCATAGAGAATGTTCTGAAGAATGTCAAATGCAGAAAGTATGCATTCAACATGATACAGCTGATGGCTTTCCCAAAGTACTACAGACCTCCAGAGGGGACATATGGAAAAGCTGACACCTAAGTTTAACAAAAGTGTAATCAGGACCATATATCATGCTAATTAGTGAATATAACAACCGCTGTTTATGATATATGAATTGGGAATGTATAACCAGTGGAGGTGTTATTTTTATCAGGTTTTATTATTTTATATATAAAATATCCAGTCCAAAGCAATGGACTGGATATTTTGAAAATCAAATATATTCAACTTATCTTTGTGAAATTGAAGCTTAATATGACTCATAAGCCAGCTGCAATTAGTTCCTGGGGTCGTTTGATTGAAGATTAAAAATGGAAATGGCAGTTGCTGTAGGAACAGAGATTAGGAATCTGGAAGGTGACATTCTAACTCCAAACCAAACCCTGAGATTTGATTTAAGGGGTATCTTGCTGCTGGAAAAGGTGTTTTCTGTAACCAGCAGAGCACTGAGGTCTTGATCACTAATGATTAAACCCTTCACAGAAATGTTTATGAAATTGGTAATTACAATTAGCTTCTTTACATAAGCATGGTAACTTGATAATATGTTTTTAGTAATCGCAGGCTGTAATTTCAGTAATTCCATTCTGATTCCCTGTGGTTCATTTGGTTATATCACTCTTGGTTTTCTGTACCCCAGCCAAATACGACTTATTTCACTTTCAAATAAATCACACTGAAATCTGGTAGATTAATTCCACAAGTAAGGTGACCTGAATTTGACCTCCTATTTAGTGTAAATCCTTAAAAGTAAATTTTCTTTAGTGGTAGGGAAAATAAGTTGTATATACAGGACTTAATGTATCTTTAGACTGTGAAAACATGTATGTTATTACAAAGCCTAAAATAAATGTTATGAGTAAACTGCTGTACTAGGACTATTTAGCCACTGCAGCTGATTTATATCAAATTTGTAATGCTGCAGGTAGACACTCTAGGATGAAGAGCTATCAGCTTTAAAAATAAATGTTAATGTTCTGCCAGCTTATGTTAGTCCTGAAATTTGTCTTGCAAAGAACATTTGTGTTTTCTAATTGTATCTATTTACTACCTTCTTCTGCCTCCCAGAGAGACATACAATTTAAAATTCCCAAGTATTCACTAGTTACTGACCTTTATGTAATGCCTTCTTTTCATATCTAGAACAGAAGTATGAGAAATTTATCCTAATGAAACTACCCGGGGAATTTGAGCGTCTGTAGGAAATTGTAATTGCCATGGATAAAGAAGTAAATGTTTGCTTACTGCTATGCAAGTTAAAGAAATCTCTATACATCATGAGTTTTAATTTGTTCTTTTTAATCCATTAATACCCATTATACTCATCCATTACTGGGCATAAATCTGTAACTATAACAGAATTTAAGAGCCTGATTCTGCAAATTCTATTTGGGTGATCCATGGAACTGGTCTATCATTTGGCTAAAATTAAATCCATTTTGTATATTTGCGAGATCAGGCTATGGAGTTTGTAGGAAAGCATCAGAAAGAGATCCTTGTTCTAATACTTACTGACTTCAGTGGAGCCATAAATTCACCTATACAATATATTAACTTTTGGAAATTTGGAACTTCTTTTTCCAAGAATTTGAACGGTTTTTTTCCAAGAAAAGTAGATACTGTAAGTAGTATTTTGGTGCATTAGTTTTTTTATTTATATGACATAATGTGCTATCATTAATTGCTTCCTTTTTCTTGGAATGTATTACTTCAGTATATGTCAGAAGGGATGACAATGCATCACAGATAAGCTCAGACTGATGAGAACATAATGCCTTGATTTCTTCTTGTCATGTACCAGTAGAAATGGGCAGTATTTGGTGGCTAGATATGTGCATAAATTAGTGTTTCTGTCTATGAATATAATGTAGCTGATCTGTGTGAAACTTTTTTGTGGATTTATGGAGCATAATCCTTCCTAGAAAAGTAATGTTTTCTTCTGTCACGCTGCCTCACTAGCCCTCACCATATACATGTCTATTATTAGTTTTAAAAGCCCTATATGTACGGTTTAGAAATAGTGATGTATTCCTCATTGATCTCTGAAATAACCCCCAGGTATGCAGTAGAGAATGCCAACCATTGTCAGTAGAAAGTAATTCTGAAACTATCAGTAAAAATCTCAATGGGGATGGTGTTCTCTGCTGGGTGCTATAGGTACCTAGACTTCTTTATCTGAGTCCCATTGGCATTCTGTCAAGTTAAAAATATGAAATTATCTAGATTTTCTTGTCAGGAGAATAGTCTTTAAAGATTTTGCCTCAGCATTTTAATCCTGCCTGGGCTCTAAATTGCTGTTGTCACTACCATGTTATTTTTGTATTGAAGTTGTTTTTCACATTGAAGCCGTGGATTTGATGAGGATAAAGAAAAAATGGCACTGGATTACTGTCCTTTTTGTTTTAACACCCATTCACAGTATATTCTTGTGAAATTAAATAATCTATAATTTGCTAAAGATAATTAAGACAAAACTGCAAGCACATCAGTTGGCTGCAGTGAAACTTCATTGGGCTTGGGCCATTACAGAAGAATTGGCTGAGTTTTGTACTAAATAGTACTGAAATTTTTCTCACTAATATTTGGGTTGGAACATTTGTTGTAGGTCAGGAGAGCTTTGTAAAACCTGCTGAAGTGCTCCAAGTCTCCTGGAAAAGCCTCATTGCTTCAGTAGCAAAGCAGGCCCAAATGTTTTGTTGTTTGGTCACTGCCTGCTGGGGCTACTGTGGTCCCTGTAGGCAAAGGCTGTGCCATCAACTGATCATGGATTCAAAATTCATGGGTTTTCTGGTTTGCCTTTTATGAAGAAACAAAGAGGGGTTTGCTACAGGTTGGTGGTTGTGTTACTTGGAGTACATTTACTCTTTGTAGCAGCTGCTTCCAGCCCTGTGGGTTGTTTGAATGCCTAAAAGAGGAGTTAAATCATCCCTGGGGTCTTGCATATTATCTTTTAGCTCACTATGGATTTCAGATGAGTAAAACTACACAACTTAATTTTTATAAGCAGACTACATTGTTTGTTTTGCAGAGGGATAAAATAAGCATAGTGATTTTCATGGTGGCTTCGCAAAAACTGTTCCATAACTGCTCTCTTAAAACTTCTGTAAGGTATACAATAATCTGCTTTTAGAGGAGGGCAGTTCTCAAGGGCTAGAAGATGAAAATTCAAAAATACATCTGGCATCCAAAGCCAAACCTTGTCTTACAGATGATATTATTTGTAGAAATCAAATCAGAATCTGTCTTCAATAATTCTGAAATAAGGGCTTCTAGCTTTCAATATTTGTACAATGCAACTCACACTTACATGGGGGTTTTGTACCACAGAGTAGTGACTAAATAGAGAGCTAGTCTAAATTACCTAAAAACATAAGGAAAGGAATGTTAAAGTAATTTTTCCCAGAAATTATTGTAATATTGTTATAATACATAACATGTCTATGACTGACATTAAGCAGGCAGGTCTTTTTTTCTGAAGTCTTTTGAGGAATTTAAAATATATTCTGATTAATGTTTATACTTCAGCTTTTATGGAGCAATTAAGAAGCAAAAATTTTTAATTATGTTATCTGATTATGTATTTTGATGGAATCCAACAATGTCTGTGTTAAAAAGAAAAAATAATTTAGGAGGACAACTAAAACAAAATATTAACTGAGAAGTAGCCTTAATGAAGACCTTTGCAATGTTAATTTTTTGCTGTCTGAATTTTGCATAAGTGAAATGAGGAAGATAACAAAAAAAATTTTTTTTTGTCTAAATCAATCTCTCCTGATGAAAATTCATTTAGTTGCAGTGGAATAACTTGTAATGGTATTCTAAATCTTCACTAGTAATTTTGGTATAAAGAAGTGCAACACTTCATTCTGAAGCCTACTCTATAACATGCCTATTAAAAGTCTCAGGGAAAAACTTATTTTTATTTCTAGATTAAACACAAGGTCCAAGAAATCCTTTGGTCCATTTTAAAAAAAGCAGAAAATGCACTGAATGTCAACCAGTGTAATAAAGAAAGAAATTGCATTGAAAACTATCCAGCAAAATTACTTGGATGAATTAATGTATGTAATCACTTAAAAGTCTTATACTTACATTGTGTCAGTTGGTTATGTTGTAAACTTGGAACCATTGATATCTCTATGCTCTTTTTTATTGTAAAGAAGTGTACCGTATAGGCAGTTCCATGAGACATGACTACATCTTGCTTTTCACTTCCTTGCAGCTTAAAAGCAGATGTTTACAATGGAAATGCTTTAAAGTAATTTGCTGCTCTTGAAAACACAAACTTACCTTGTATATTTTACATTTACAAAAAAAAAAAAATCAAACAAATGCTTTGTTAGAGAGAAAAAAAATCACAGACTTCAATCCTTAAAACATTGTTTTTTTCCCTTAGCCATACAACACCTCAGCTGTTGTGTTGCCAGGCATTCAGCTTGCACTCTGTAAGATTCTAACATTTATTTTCTCTTTCTTTCATAGCATCTGCTGAATAAGTTATATACCAGCCATGACTATCAGCATGATACTCATGATTCAAGGTTAAAAACTTACATTTGCTCAGATATGTGCAAATACTTCAAGTTAAATAAACTATAAGACACTTGTGAACCAGTGTCTCCTTATTCCAAAGAGCTGAAACATAAGACACAGGATTTGTGTGCTGACTGGGAAAAAGAGTTACAGTAGGAGTCTGACTATGATAAAAGATTGTCATGGACATGCCAGGTTCAGAGTAGTGAGATTTGAACCATGCTGCTCTCACTTAGGGTTCTAACTATTGGCAGTGGTGTTTGGTTATTCTTCCCATACATGCAAAAGGCTTTAAAAGTTTTCAGCACTTTTGCTTATGAATGGTCTGACTTTAAGACTTCTAAAATCCCAAATTACTTTGGTACTTGTTTTACTTTTGTGTAGCTGTTCCTTGTGATGCTCCTGTCTCCCATTCTGGAGCACACAGAGCTGTGTATAAGTAATGTTAACAGGACTTCAGTCCGCAGAATGTGTTTGTCCAGAGAAACAAAGCACAACTGTAGGAATTCAATGCTTTTTATATTTCAGGGTTTATCACTTTTGTTTCATTGCTGTCTGTAAGCCATGTCCATTGTACACTATGTGTATATTTTTATTTAAATAAATTTAATGTTTATTTTTTATGTTTCTGACTTTTTTGTTTGTTATTCATTTTTCATTGTCATTGAGGTGGTGTTGCCCAGAGGGAGTATTGTTCATGCTGATGAGAGTGTGTTCCCACCTAAAGGAGCTGATGGAAGCCCACTCACAGGTCTCATCACTGCTAGGAGCAAGGATTTAAGAAAAGTTCTGATATAACAGTTAAAAACCCGCAATGGGCAAAAATGAATAGTTCCTATTCTTCTTAGTCTTACCAAAACTTTCATCTCAGAACCAAGTGGGTCATGCATTTTCTATTTCAAAGCAAACAAAGCATTCACATGCCCATAAGGAAATCCCTTTCACATAACTGTTGATCTGTAATTCAGGCAAGATCAACACTTCTTGTAATGAAGACTTTTTAAAAGGTGATGTGTCATGCATTGTCTGGTATCACAGTGATGGACCTTGGGAAATAATTATGGGTTGCTTCTGTGCTGTTTTCTTGAGCTTCTGTTAGTATCTAGATTTATTATATGATTTATCACCATAATGAAAGGTAAGTTCCCCATGGCTGGCTGAAATGTAGCAAACAGATCTTTTTGGGTATATGATAAAATGTGGCTCATCTGTACTATCAGTACTATGAGTAGAAGGTTGATGCATAATATAATATCTCTGTTTATATGTTAGCATTTTTAGTTTTACTAAAATATATTTAGTGATATTTTAATTACTTGCAAGCTTCTCAATAACCTTTAGAAAACACTGGGAATTAGTGGTTCATTGGAAATAAGTTTAAAAGCTGTTAGCATTCAGCTAACAGGAGCCTAGAAGTTTTGCATCTTACTAATAAAAGGTGAAAGTCTTTTAAAATTACTTTGTCTCACTTTGCATGTTTATGGATTTTCTTTTCCTTGTAAACTGGGAGCCACTTTCTTCTCATGACAATGTGAGAAAAAGCAAAAGAACCTACAGCTAAGTGAGATGATAGGATAATATGATAGTAAAAATATGTTTTCACCAATTCACTTTCCAATGTTACTTCAGGGCATGGTTGAGTATATGATAGGATGTTTTTGAACCACACGTCTGCAGGGTTCTACAATGGGCAGACCATTGCTTCCAGTAAGAGAATGTGTTCAGAAATGCTGCTTCTGCTAGGCAAGAGCTGTCCTGTGAGTTCAGTGATGAATCTTGTGCAAATCAGAGCCTTCAATAGGTATGTGACAGATGCTGTTTGTGGAATTAAGGACAAGAAGGTTTTAGATGCGAACTAGACAGTGTGCTGCTTGCTATGCCCAACTAAACAGATCCTTTGCATTTCTGTGTAGGCTATCTGTGCCCAGTCCTAACCCAGCACATAAATGAGAAGTACACTTGCTCTGCTGCAGGGATAATTCTTGACATTATTAGAGGAGTAAATGTAAACTGCTTCTAAATAAGCTGGGATAAGAAGTTGAATTGAAAGATTTCTTCCATATGTTTGTTTACATGTATATACATACATACTATACTTACATTTTAATATTTTTATATGTTGTAGGATAGGAAAGGGCAGTGACATATGATCAGTTGAAAAATGGAACTTGTGATATTTCTAGCAGTCAAATACAGTTTTGCAATTGGAAGTGTAGCACCAAAGATAGGCTTACATGGAAAGCTTTGACTTGTAGCATACTGGTGGCATGTGGTGACTCTAATGGTAAGTTGCTTCTGGGGAAAAAACAGAGAGAATGAAATGGGAAAGGGAGGGCGTTTCCCAGACTGGACTCTGCCATTCCTGTCAGGAGTTTGAAGATCTCAAGCCTTGGCTGGCTGTTCCCTCTCATAACTCTGTTGTCACTAACTGAAGTGAGGCTTGGTCAGGGCAGTTCTCTCTGCTGCCAGGCTATGAGCTTGGTGTGCATGTGTCTTAGAGTCTCTCATGAAAACAAAAGGCTTCAGTCTGGGGGCAGGAAGAGGAGAAATGAAGGGTTTAATTCTGTCCCAGTAGAAATCACTTTCCTTAAGTGTCTGCTCCAGTAGTACCAGACCGCAGGTGCAAAGCTGGGAGGATAACAGCAGAAGAACAAGGAAAGAATACTGTTCTCTTTCCCCAACAAAGTCTACATGTTATATCCATTTTTCATTGAGCAATTTACAGGACTGCTGACTTGAACAAAATTAGAACTGTCATAAATAAACAGAGCAGAACTCACCCCTTAGGTCATACCATTCCTCAGAATTTTCCTTTTAGAGGCAGAAAAGTTTAGGGTCTGGTCCTAAAGTCATTATTCACAAGCAAAGAATCAGAAATGGGGCACTTCAGGTGAGAAACACCAAGGACCAGTTTTTGTGAGAGGTTTCAGAATCATTGACATTCCTGAATTTTGGTTCAGAACTGCAAAAAACATTTTGTTTGTACAAGGCCCCACACAAGAAGAAATTATTCATGGTCATGGCAAGGAAGTTGATGGCAGTTTCCTGTAAATTATTATAATAAGTAGCTGATGCTAATGAACTTGCACACAGAAGAAAATATATGCCATCAACACAGTCTCTTTAGAAGGACTTTTTTAGTGGAGTAAAATATTCAAAAGCATCTAAATGGGATCTGGTTTTGTTAGTAAGATGTAGTACCCAACTTTCTTGGGCACTTATCAGCATTTAAAAAACACGTAAATAGGAGCTTAGATTTGATTTCCTACTTAAATCTAGGTAGATTCTTAATGCTCTCTATTTGAATTTAACTTCTTTCTGGTATGAAATATTACACTCTGGCTTTTCCTACTTTTCAAACAAGACCAGAGTACCAGGAAATAGTGACAAGGTTGTGTCAAAAATGTATATAAATTGAGTCACCTGACTTGATGCTGTTTGCAGATGGAAACTCAAAGTATTTGTGACAAATATGAGACTGATGTTACTGTGGTTAACATCTGGACTGGTTTCCAGCAACCAAATACTGCTGCCTGCTCGGTAATATGGCAGCTCTCAGCCAGACTCAATTGGAACTCAGTAATCCTAAAAGAAACCACAGAATAAATCCCAGCCTTCTTACCACTCAGCAACGTGGATTATGTTCTAGTGTTGGGTATTAATGGGCAAGCACAACTGTCCCACATCATTCCATCAGTGCATCGTGGCAGGTGGGTTCTCTTTTCAGAAAGCAGCTGTGTTGTGATGGTTATGTGAGGGAACTCAAGAGTTCAGCTCATGGGATAGATGTGAAACACTCAGCAGATAAACTAATAAAATATAAGAACACAGGTAATAAAATCAGGGACCAAAGAGATCTACGAACTAGGTAAGGAATGTTATGTATAAACTCTGCATTTTAGACTGCATTCAGCTTTTGTCTTCACCTGAGATGTTCTTGGAATTGGAAGATTTTGCTACTTTGGGACTGTGGTAGCAGCTACGATGGACATAGACTACAGGATTATCAACATAAATATTAAAAATAACCTTGAATAAATAACAGGATTGTTGTAAGGCTGTTGCTGATTGGCCGAACAGGTATTGTGCACAAACATTCTCTTACAGGTAAAATCATTTTGAGGGAAAAATGGTTGTACCACTTTGTACGTTCTCCCAACAGCAAGGGACGAGGACAGTGCTCAGCTGAGAGCGTAAGGAGTGTAAGAATGCAATCTTTTGTATAATTCATAAAAATTATAGTCATATCCAAAATTACAAAACATTTTAGAGGTTGATTGCAGGTCCTAATGTAAATAGTAATTAATTGCTTTTAAGTACTTTCAATTAAGTTTAAATAGGTTAATTATTTACACTGTTCCATGGGAATATTTGATACAAATCAAGGTAATTTTCAGCATGAATTAAAAACAACCCCCAGACTCACAAAATAACATTAGCTAGTATAAAACAATACTTTTAATGGCTACCTTTACCTCCTCATGATACACCATGTCCATGTTTTGTTGAAAGAGAAGATTATTAAAAAAATTTTTTCAATCAAGGTTTTTACTCTTTTAATATCAGTAAAATAGATAATTTTAATACCAGGGAAATAGAAGTGATCATTTCATCAGTGGGAAGTATTAGCTGTTAGCAGGTTTTTTTGTGTGTGAATCCAGTTGGTGTGCTTAGTTATAAAATGCTCAATAAGAGTTTAAAAAACAAAAAAGTGGAGCACCCAGTTTATATTCATGTATTCATGGGCATAGTTAATGGACATCAGCAGGGGAGATGTGATCCCACACTTTTTAAAAATCAACAGAAAAGCAGTGCACACCAAGCAATTCCCTTTTGCATTAAACTTATTAATTCAAATCAATTTTTATGAGCACATAGGCTGGAGCTATGGCACTTAATTCCTTTTGATCTTCTGCCTGCTAAATTCTGCTTCCCACTGTGCTACCATGCAGTTTATTTTTAACAGATAGTTTGTTTGAACACCATTAAAATGAAAATATTACAACTTCTAGCATTACTGAGGCATTGAAATACCTGCCAAGTTATTAACTGTGTGCACATGCACACGCAGAAATAGCCATTTGCACAAGGAAAAATTCTAGAGTTAAGAAAATGCTGCTGTTATGTTCAAGAGCATGAAGCACACAAAATACAGGATCTTGACTTTTGCAAAGCCAGCATTACAAAATACTCACGCTAATTTCCATGCTTAGGTGCAGCTCCCATAGCTGTTAGGTTTCTGGAGAAGAAGACTGCTATGATGTGACAGGTTTTAAATGGAAGATTTTGAGGCTGAGTCATTTGATTTTTCTTTTAATAACAATATGGCATTAATTCAAAACTCTTTCCCATGATTAGTGTTCTGAAAGACACATTTCCTAATTATGGATTCTTTTTTCAGCTGAGCACTTCTGTACAAGTAATGCACCTCTTTGGCCTGAGGGTTTTTATTCTCATTACATCTTTCTGTGAGGAGCGTCATAAAATGTTTTAAATATTTCAATATCAGTCATGCTGTGATTGCACTACTTTTATTTTTTTTTTCTTAGAAAACTAGTAGTTCACTGACTTTTAGTGGTGGGCCTAAAAACAGATCTTACCCCCAGGTGTGCTCCACATTGGT